AAGCAAAATGCATGAAAAATATACGTTTCCTCAAACACTTTTACTGAATATTTGGATAGAAAACTAGTAAGTTAAAATTGTCAGTCAGTAGTAGTCAATTCTCTGTTCACTGTAACAGATTCCTTTTTAATAATCACTCTTTAAATTTACATACATACGTACTTTATTGACTTTCCCCTAAGAGGCTTTTCAAAGACAACAAATTAAATTTAAACAAGTACAACAATAAAAATAAGATGGCAACAATAAATAATCTACTTTAAGGACCCTAAAAGATATTTACACTAATATTTAAGAATCTATAAAATCGTTTACCAGTTTACGTTTCATGTTAGATTTAAAAGCAGATACTGATTTAAAAGTTCTAAAATAACTATCCATAAAGTTCCAAATACTAACTGTTCAATAATAGAAAGTCCTTTGTTTAGGAACGAAGTGGTTGCCGCGTGAAACACGCTGTTCTGTCTGCTTGAGTATGAAACATTATCCACTATACTGTTCAAGCAAGCCTTACCAGCTCATCTTCGAGTTGCTTTTGCAAGCGATCCAACTCTACGCAAAAGCTTCGGAGTGTTTGCACATCTGATGGAGTGAAATGCAATCTCTTTTCGTCTTTCATGGTTGACGTGATGTTTGTGTTTTATCCCCGAGGTTGATCTTGCACTTTGGTTGTTAGCCTTGATTCGTAGACTACTAATGAACATCTTCTTCAATGTCAGGGTATTTATGTACCCGGGCCGGGTTCGAAAGGGAAAATCCCGAGATGTAAATAAGCCATGATAAGTCACGAGGTGTGTTTAAGAATAAAGCCTATTGCCTATTTTGTAACGGAACGTGTTCCTGGAAGTTCTGGGTGGGGCTGGAGTAGCGTACGTAATGATATAATTGTGTTTAGAAAAGAAAAGCTAAACATTCTGAAAGTCGCTTGAAAGCCTTGTTGTACAGTATGCTTCGCGTCATATTGATGGATATTGAATACGGTAAAATTAATGCTCTTCCGAACGAACGCTATCGGTTTTGTTATGTTAATTATCGAAGCAATCGATCTGTTTATTATCTTAGATCATGTCAGATGTATTAAGCATAAAAACACTTTTTGATCCAGTTGAGTGAATTTCAGTTTCCTGTGTTTCTGCGAATCTGTGACGCGTGCCACTTAATTACAGGTTGACTCGTGACAGCCCTACTCATAAAAACTGAAAAAAAAAATCCAAAATTAAAAATATTGCCTGACAATCTGTCAAAATATAAATCTGCACTGCTATTTTGGAAAACAGATCAGAAAAAGAACATGAAAATCGTTTCATCCAATTGATAGAAGGTAGTTTATCAATGACCTGTGAACCGAGGAACGTTTTAAAAATAAGACATCCGGTTGGAATCACATCCTGTTTTGAATAGACTCACCCAAGTGATGTCACCAGCAGTCACGCCAAGTTCTGGGGTCATAAAATGATCCTTATCTAAGATAAGGGAACGCATTATCTCACTTGTTTTGAAAATGCCGTAAATTGTGTATAGTAAAATATGAAAAAGGTAGGTTTAATTACTGCTTATCATGCTTCTGATTAGGTTTCAGCGAGGGGGTATATGTTAGAATGTGAGCTGAGGGTTAAACGTACTACATACGATATTTCTGTGTGAACCGATAAGGAAAATGGAGTATAAAACTAAATGGGTATATATCTCGAGACCAAGTGAACGTTAAAATAACAATTTGAAACGATCGAGTGATAATATGATGACTTTTGTTCTGAGTTAGAAACCCTGACCAACTATTATTGTTGGTAATCAAGTGAATCGACTGCAGTTGATGAAGCGTGAGTATAAATATTGAACAATTTACCGAACAGTTAACTGGGCACGAATACAATTTTAAGTCTTCACAAACTTTGCCCGATGCGCTTGTTTCAGACACTCGCATGAGAAAAATCATGAGATTACTTAATATTTACTTGAAAGAGGTAGTCTTTTTACTGACTTATGCTACACAAGGGCTTCAAGTATCTCCGGATATTTCATAAAGCTTGTTATAAATAAATCAAGAAAGCTTTGAAAGTCGGTCGACGTCGAAATACCTCGGGTGATCATCGGTAGTGTTCGAGATTCTTGATACTAACTTTGAAAATCTTCATTGCAGTTTGTACTTGTACTGCGCTTCTCCGATCCGCACTCGTGCCTTTTAGACTTTTCATTTGAAAGCTACAGTCTCTTTTTAAGCAGAAATTACTCCGGTTTATTCAAGAGTATCATTGCATGACTTGGCGTGTTAAAATCAAAAGTTCTTAAAATGACACGAGTACGAACAAAAAATGTTCCTGTCGATTCCAAATTTGCAATACTTCTCTGTGCTGTACCTTGTTAATAAACGCAATTAATTTTATATATGCACCAGACTGTCTCTGTTAAGAAAACAATACAATCTTTATTTGATATTATTAATATTACTAGAGCATTTATAGTCACGTAAATCTTTCTCTTAGTGGGTACAGTGTAAGGCTCTGAATATCGTGATCTCTGTATGTATTTATGTGTGTTATCAGGGATACTTTTCTTACTGTACACTTTAATAAATACCTCATGATAACTCTATATTGAATATATTACAACAAGCCAAGATTTAAGTATTTCTAGAGACTACACCTTTAGATACCTATATTGCTTAAATTAGCTTAAGACAAGCGTTTAATAAAGCCTTTATTCTCTCTGTCTCTGGTTCTGTTTCACTTGTGGACCATCTTTAGTGCTTTTAATCAGTAGGATTTCATTCAGTCAGATGACCCAAATCTCTTTGGAAGTTCAACAACAAGAATGAACCAAGGCCTTGGACAATGACGTAATTTCTGACGTCATAAATCGCTCTCAAGTCAGCGCTTCTGTTGTCAGTGAAATCGTCTTCAATTGTCATATCTGCAGTCAATACATTTTCTCTGTTGTGCTCACCAAAAACTTCCTGCAGGAAAGAAATAAAAATCGCTTAATGACTACTCCAAAACAAACAGCAGGTTTTCTGGCCCTGAGACCCTTGGTGCTGAGAAGATCCAAACTCACTGTTTCCGGCCCATGCAAGCTACAACTAGTTCTAGATATCTCAGCCATCAGAAAAACGAATGAGATAAATGATATTTTTCAATCTTTAGACTTCATACTCTTAAAGGGTGTAGAGTAGAAATGAGTCGAATGATCACTGCCCTCTGGTTTCCTGAATGAATGTTGTTTGCAACGCGAAAGGAACTCCTTACATAAATACTTATACTTACAGATTAAAATGTCATTAAGATTTTAGGCCGTACGGCTCCTGATTCGGACACTAAAGGATACTTACCAGAAATTCTCTGGTTGTTTTGTTGAGTTCGTCCTCCAGATGTTCTGATCGTGGTGGCTCCGGAGGCAAAATGTCGCTTTCTCTCAGCTGTTAAAAAACGTAAATGAATATATGGTCAATTAATCTGAATCTGAATCCCTTATCTCCTCTTACAACCACAAAATTAAAAGAAATTAAAATTTAAACCAGCAGTAAGTTACCAAGAAAGGAAAATTAAAAAAGAAAGTAAAATGAAGCAGTAATCCCTCACCACTCTCCAGATTATGCTTGCCAAATCAATTAGCAGTGAGTACACCTTGTCACTCAGTTCCATTCTCCTCTCATCCACACTCTTAGTCACCAGTCTCATTGCCACCTGAAACATTCGGAATTGCTGGAGGTCATCTTTCAAGATTCCTGCATCTGTATCCTGTGTTAAAGAGAAAAAGGTTCAGCGTTGATTAGTTCAGATCATTTGTTTTCTGTAAATTTACTTTAGCTAGCGATCGGCCCCCCCCCCCCCCCCTTACTTTGGGTAAAAAAAGAAGAAATCACAGAAGGAAGAAAAACCGGCAGGGCAAGCAAAACAAAATCGCCTCCCCCACCCCGCGGCATTCCCCTTAGCTGAAGGTCTGGACCAGCCACTGCAGTCATTACCTTCTAAAGTTGCACAGTTCCACNAGAAAAACCGGCAGGGCAAGCAAAACAAACCGCCCCAGCCCCCTTAGCTCAAGGTCTGGATCCGCCACTGAGGTTTACCTTCATTAAAGTTCTATGGTTTCACTTCCAGTTTTCAGAATATCCAGTCGTTAAATATAAAGTGATATAGTAAACGTTCCTACCGCGCTTTCACTTTATAAGCCAAACACTCGTCAGAAACTTATTCATTGAAAACGAAACTGAAAACTTCAATCCATCACAAATCTAAAATATATTTCCCTAGAGTTCCGCTGCGTCAACTCAATGATGTAATGAGTCGCAGTCACGCATGGGATATGGGGAATCCCCCACCACCACCCGCTACGGCTGCATAAAGGAAAATGGCTGAATATGAATTAACAGTTTCACTTACCCTTTTTATGAAAGATCTTCTTAGTTCTGGAAATTGCAGCAAATTTACAATGTCGACATCAACTTTGTGACGCTGAAGTAATGGTGTCTAAAATACGGAAAGCAATTTATTCAGTTAAGTCAACATTATATCACACCTACGTTATCACAGACTGAATATCATATATCTCCTATCTAAGTGAAACAGCTTAAACGACATTCAATACGTTTCAATTTTCCCCACTAGTTTAAAAAATAAGTGTATCATAACAGACCGGCTCTATGTGTAATCAACAATGATAACCAAAATATTTGCACGGGAGCGAGAAATTACTCTTTCTTTAACACGGTATAAACAAACAAACAATGCAAATTACATAGAAAGGAATCATTTTTATCGTCCTAAGATTTGTGCTCTTGATCTAACTGTACTCTTCTGGACGAAGAAAAGTTTCTTCGTCAAACACCGCTATTTTCTGTTCTGCTATCGAGACCAATTTTGTAATTCAACAAGGACCCTTGGCTTCAGAACTGTACCTTTTGAACCGATAATAAACACACATTGTAAATATTCTTACCAGAACATTTGGCAATAGCTGTTGGGATTCATTGAGTTGATCCAGCAAACTGAATATTGTGTTCAGATCCTCCTCAGTTAGCACAAGTTTCTTTTCATCAGTCACCGCTGAACTGCCAAACACTTGTGTAATTTCTAGACAGCGCGTCTCTTCAACCTTGTCCATTGTTAATAGTAAATACAGCTGCCCGACTAGCGCTGAACATTTATACACGATATCATAGTGAAAAGGGAAAAGCCCCCGGTCTTAGCAATGTCACGGGACGTTCTCTGACGAAGCGTCGCTTAGTACTAAGTTCATGCCTTTTTCCGCCTAAATAGATTCGAAAACACTTTTACTTTCGCTTTGTTCGCGTCACCTTTCGCAAACAATCATATCTTCTACCTTTCGCAGTCATGGTTATATGGTTCCGAGTTTTGGAATTTATGTTCGGTCGACTACCTTTCCGGTTATCAGAGTTAAAAATAGATTGAAGAAGCTGTGGTCAGTCAAGCGTCCCCCTTGATATACTTCCATTTTCGATTTCGGTTCTGATTAAAGCGGTCTATATATCTATATGTTGAACACATTTGACTTCCTTTCCACTGCAAAAAATAAACACGACAGGGTAGGTTAAATCTTAGAAAACCTTCGCTGTTGAGCGAGATTAATGTTCGTTTCTTCTTTATTTTGATATTGAATGATTGTACAATATTCACGGAGGCCGGAATTGCACGCTAAACCGGGGATTTTTTAATTTCTTAGAAGTTTCTCCTTGAAAAAACCCCTTTGTATAAGAGATATTCAGACTTGCGCTAGTCACGAGGAGTTAACTCGGAATTAGAGAATAGTTTCAAAATACCATTTCCGACCCTTTAGTTCTTCCCTGTACTCTTAATCGAAAGCTCCGGGTTTGACAATGAGCGAATGCCGAGAATGCGAGACAGCCTCACGAAAACAGTGACCTTGCTACATAGCGAGCTCGGTGTGGAGCCCCAGAGGGATGGGGGAATGGGGGGATGGGGGAGGGGTGGGGAGGAATAGCACCAACAGCAACAACATCAATAAGATCATCAACAAGCACCTTTATTTGTACTCATAGTTACATTTTATAGACAGAAAAAGGTAATGATTAAATCAAAAAGAATACTGGCTGCTTGGAATAACCACAGGGGATGGTGGAGGATTAAGGTTCCAGTAAAGAATACTCTTTCTTTCATTTATTTATCGATTGATTGATTGACTGACTGATTGATTGATTGATTGATTGATTGATTGATTGATTGATTGATTGATTGATTATCTTTTAAGGGTTTTTGTGTCGAATTAAATTGTAAATAATTTTGACTTTAGATAGCTAAGGTACATTTTATTTAACTATTAAGGGTTTTTGTTTCGAATTAAATTGTAAATGATTTTATCTTTATGTAGCAAAGGTATATTTCAAGATGTAAATAGTGTCCCCAATTAGTTTTTTTTTAAGCTAAATACCATTGACACTTAATTAAAGATTCATTCATTCATTCATTCATTCATTCATTCATTCATTCATTCATTCATTCATTCATTCATTCATTCATTCATTCATTCATTCATTC